CATTTTTACAAAATTTCTTTAACTCCATTCGATAGAGCGTCAAAAAATATACTAAGAGTTTTAATTACAACCCAAAATAATGTAAAATAAAATAGTTATGGCAAATCCGAATAGCCGCTCAAACACTGTTTTAATTTTATAGATTTTAATACTTATTTTTTCGCAATTCGCGGCCAGGGGATAGTAGCTGGGACCTAGGGCTACCGATTGGTGGCCTTATAAAAATTTTGGGACCTTCCGGCTGGGGGGGTAAAGTAAACTCGTGCCCTAACCGTTCAGTTGTATACTGGCAGTAACGAAACGGGCAATTTTGTCGGATTTTAACATTTCTTGAGAATAACTCCAACTTCCTCCTTTCCCACGCACGTTTTTTTGCTATCCACGCCAACTTTTTGGCATCCAGCACACCCAAACCGAAGATCCGGATTTCCGCCACAGCGTCAGCAGCGCACCTGAAATGAAGTGGCCTGGAAAAAACGAGGGCCCAACCTAGAATTTTGGCTTCTCCTCTGGACAATGGTCATTCAATTGCGCCTTCTTTTAAAAGATTGTGAAGTGCCTTTTCCCTTCCCCGCTCTTACTCCCTTTCTAACTGCATCTTCATCGTCGGTGGGCTCTTCGGTCCCAAATTGGAGACGCCGGAGAGAGGACGTCATCGGTTGGCTGACACCATCTGATTCCCCGCATTCCCCAATCTGACACCTTGGCCGGATACTTTTTGAGCTTGGTGCGGGGGAACCGTGTGACACCGCCCTTTTGAACATGAGCATCGCACGAAGGCAGGGAGACCTACATCTGAATCATTTTCTAGGTGGACTAGTAGATCCTTTTAAGGAGCCAATTTTCCTTGTTGTAACTATTTTTGTATTGCAACATTTTGAGCTGCCATAAAAGCTTATAGTTAATTTTTCGATGCTCTATCGAATCGCGTCAAGAAAAGCCCAAGAAATAGCGAAATATCCAAGTCTAGGCCAATTTTGCATTTCTCAGCCCCTTTAAAAGTTCAGTAAGCTTTCGCATATACCAACAACCCTTTCACTGGGTCTTAAAATAATTTATCGCCTTTCTACTTCCTCAGTTCCTTAGCCAACTAAAAAAATCCAAAACGTGAAAGTTCGCGTGTGGTGTATCCCCTCAAGGGGACGGGGGGTTCAATTTTCCACCTGGCGGCACAAGCCGCCAGGGTTTTGAGTCAGACGACATCGGGGGCTATTGGTCCCGGCTAATTAAATGATCGCCACAATAACAATTATAAGCGATTGTATTAGTACGATCACGTGTTTGTCGACCTGGGTCTATGTCTCCCGGCGGGCATTTCGAGGTGAAACACCTGTACCTCAAACCGCTTGTCTCGTGTTTTTCGTTTTCAAGTTATGGTGCTTTTGCATTATAGGGGGGGGGGTGTATCCGGAAAAGCTAATGTTTTCGTATTACTCTAGAAATCTCAACAAATGTGACCCTAAGGATTTTAATAGTCAGTTGTTGGTTGGAAATCCTCCATTGTTATAAAAATTATAATTTATTAATATAACCGTTCTAAATTCACGATTTATTACTATCTTGCAAGTACAACAAACCCTTTAAAGACTAAAAATTTTGAAATGCTATAAGTTTTATTCAATTATTTTTGTATTTATCAAAAGTAGAGTTTGGCGCTACGCTACGCCGTTAAAATAAAAAATGATCTTAATTTATCTTATATACGTTGCATTCTTAAGAAGAAAAAAAGAAAACGGCTGGTTTTCCTCCCCCCGATAATGCCAAAAATCCCAGCTACTTCAAGTTTTTTTTGATGATTTCACACCTCTTTTTAGATACACGGCATCTCAGGACCCGCAATTACGACATGTAATGGGGGGACCAAAAATGCTAAGAGGGGAGTCTTTGAACGCTTATAACTTTTTACCTAGATTGTAATTTACAAAAGTCGATTTCAGATTACAATCTAGGTAAAAAGTTATAAGCGTTCAAAGGCTCCCCTCTTAGCATTTCTGGCCCACCCATTACATGTCGTAATTGCGTGTCTGAGATGCCGTGGATATTTGTTGTGCGTTTCGTGCCCATGTCACTTACCTAATTCCCAATTATTAATTCTATATTATGCCAAAAATGCCTTGAGCCAGTTTTTCCCAGTTCCATTGATGGGCCAAACCGAGGGATTGGGCCAAATTTCCAATTATCCACCGCGTAGGCAGCGAGACCAACCCCCTAAAAGTGGGGTGAAGCCGCAAGGGGGAGGCAAGGGAGGATGTGGCGCGAAGAAAATGGCAATGAGGATTTGTTACCCGGTATTATTCGGGGAGGGCGAGAAGGGGCCCGGATTTGCGATCCTCACCCAAAAAATGAGGTCTCCTTGTGAATACGGAAAATTTGTCCAAAGGGAAGCCTGAAGGGGAAGAAGGGACGGGGTTCATCAGAGATTGGAAAATAGGGCATTTTTGGTTGTCGACGTATGCTGATATTCAGAATATTAGATGTTCATTTTTAAGGTGTTGTTCGACACAGAGACAAATTCGGCCAAATTTCAAAGCAAAATAATCTAACATGAAAAAGATATCGCTAAAAACTCACTCACTTTTTGGAAAACATTGGCAAACATTTTCGTTAGGTTGAGGAAGAAAGTATGCCGATTTGAATAATTTCTCAAAAACGGTCATATGAGTTTTAGGCAATTTTGAGGATATACTTAATTAGAATCGCCGAGCTCAACGCTATTTTCGTAAAACCAAAAATATCCCAGATATAGAACAGTGGCGTCTCCATTTTTGCTAAACAGATCGTGGTCCAAATCCGTCAAAATTCCAGTAAAAGCGGCAAAACGGGCCTTAAATTAGCTATAAAATTTACATTATTTTGCTGTGAAACTTCGGTTGTAAAAAGGTTTCATGAGGCACTATAGCTGGGAAAATTTTGAATACGTTCGGAACCCAGACGGCGAATGCCAGGGGTTTTTTATTTGGGTCTCCTGCATGTTTTGATCAAGGCTTTGACATTAAATATTTAGATTATTAACTATACTTTTATATAAAAATACAGGCGTTGAGAAATATCCACTTTTTAACATACTATCACGCGGCCAGTGTCAACCAACGAATTATCTGTAGTCGCTGACCGGGGATTAGTGAATGGGGAGGATTCATTTTTCGGGGCCCAGTTATCCCGGTCGTAGAATCCACCCCCCCGCCCCGGTAATTATTTGTTGACCGCATAGTCTCACCTGATAGTCAATTTTGTCGAGTCGTTTTCTGTAGATGGCAAACTGCTTCATTGCTCCGAAAAAAGGCCTTGGTATTCCACCTTTAAATGTAACTGGATGATTTGATATTTAATCTTTGTTAATATCTCCTTTATCCTCTCAACTCATTCCCCTCCTTTGTGGAACTATTACTCATCTGATTCACACCACTACCCCCTCTTTCCATTTTTTAATCCCCATCCTGGAGACTAATTTGATTCACGCACCCGTGTCTCCTCCACACCCCCCATTCCCCCTCTCGATTACGCATTTCTACGCATCTCCCACTATTTCCGGGTGGCTATTATTATTTTTGAGCAGATCTACACGTCCACCCGCAGCAACCGCATCATTTCAGCATTTTTTGGAGCATTTTTTTGGAGTCTCGCCTCTTTGAGTCACAAAATTAGCCAAATTTTTACTTGTGTCCTACCGCATTTTTTCGCCCCCCTAGGGAATCCAAGGACTGAAAAAAGATGCAAGAACAGCGGCACGGTTAATCAAGAATGTAGGCTGCGTCGTCAGCGGTGGTGTTTGCTGAAATCTGACCTGGCAAGGAAGAAGTAGAAATTTTGCGCCGGGTGCGGGTAGGGTTTTTAAGTGGTAAAGCAGGCTTGACCAGGCGCTTTGAGGAATGGGGTATTAAGTTTTCATATTAATTATACTTTTGAATAGTCATATCTATGATTACAACTAAATTCAATTAAAATTAATATAAACTGGATTTATAAGATATGGCTTTATTATACTCCCTCTCCTCCCGGTCAGCCGGAAGTTCCTAATAATTTTTCCGTATAACTTTTTGTTTTACATTATTTTGAGCTGTAATAAAAAATCTTTAAAATAGTTTTTGATGCTCTATCGAATGGCCAAGAAAAAAATCCTGACAAACCAGCGAAAACGTCGAAAAATTTTGGGACCCTTTAGCTGGATCAAGTAACCTCTATCATTTTGTGAAAAGGCCCTCGAACAATGTGTCGATTTTCCATTTGCTAGATTTTATTTTACTTTAAAACTTCCATTTTCGAGCGTCCCGGATCTCTGAACACTTGCCCTACAAACCACTAATCACCTGATTTGAATACTCCAGGGACCAAAAGAAAATACTCGCGGAAAGTGGGCGTTTTCAGTGTTTAATGAAATAATTCGGCATCGTGCGTCAACCCATCTGTTGGATTCGCTTCAGTGTCAATCACTGTGACGGACTAATTTTTGCACAGGGTTTCTTGCCCCTCATTTCCATTGTCTTATCTTCCCCTTACGGATACGAGTTCCCATCACCCGGATTAGTTAGATCTGAAACCCGCATTTCCCGGCAATACCGAACCCTGCAGGACTTCGTGGATTCCGTAGTTCCATGTTGTTCCCGGTGGGTTCCGGTTCGATTTTTGAGGGAGGCTCAAGATTTTGTACGCGCTGTGTTTTGAGACTACGACTCTGGTGAAAAGCTGGGTCGAACTTATTATTTCTTTTTTTTCTAGAATTTTCGTGGGGAAATAGTGGTTTGATCAAACCTCTGAAAATCCTTTTTGCTTTGAGTATTTGGGAATTTCGTGGAATTAGAGACTACCACTCGTTCCCCCGTTTTTCAACAATTTCACACGGAGCCGACGTGTGCGAGAAATGATTTCACCATATCATTTTGAAACGAGAGCTCAAGAATAGGGTTTTGTAATTACTATTATCATTCTTCCTCTATTGTTACCCTCGCTTATTTTCAAAAATATGATTTTTGTTTAAAGCGCCAATCGACCAATTTAGAACGATGGGTATAACGGGCGTGGAGGTTGCCACGTTCATATATGCCTATGTCCTGCCATGTCAAGTGTTAATTGGATGCTGCGGAAATATCATGAATTTGATTGTGCTGCTTGACCGTCAAATGAGGAAAGCTCGGACGCATTTGGTAAGATTAAAAAAATCAGTTGTTGGCACCATGCCCTTTCTTCTAAATTTTTATTTATTGCAAAATTCTACTAATTTACATATCACCTTCCAGCTCTTCGCTGCAATGGCTCTTTCGGATCTCGCGTTCCTCATCTCATCCCTAGGAACATGGCTGATGATACAAAGGGTAAGAAAATACAACTTATGACAACTTATTCTTATTTAGTTTTTCCCGCCTTCCCAGCCAATGATGGATTTCCTAAAGAATCATCGACATTACCCCAACGGTCTGTGCAACTGGTTCAGCGCCATGTCGATTTAGTAAGGCTATTGCCATAATTTAGTAATAGCGTTATTCCAGCTTTATGATCTACGCAACAGCTGAACGTGTATCTGTCATTAAATCTCCTTTCCGGGCTTCGAAGGTATTTTAAAAATCTCAACAACTTGATTCCAAATTTTAGGAGCCTGTCACGGCTCGTTTTGCCGCCTCCCTGCTTCTTATTTCCGTGGTATCATTGGCGATCTGTGGAATTCATTTTATGTCCCATCAACAGGTAAGTCATTTCATTTAGCAATTTTAAATTATTTTAAATTCGACAATAAATTAACAATACAAATTCCAGCGCAAATTATGGCCGGACTTACAACGCAGCTGGATTATGGCTCAAATGCTCCTTGTCGTGGTTGTCCCATTTGTGTTGACTACGGTAGGGCCGCAATTTAAATTTTTTACACAAACACTTTTTTAGTTTATGAACGCTATGCTGATCGTGGAGCTGAAGAAGAATCGCTGCCAGATGCATGCACTGAGCGACAATTACAGCGAGAAGCAGATTTTGCAAGATAATAAGAGGAGTCGTGATGAGCGAAAGGTGGGGATCGGTCTTAAAATTATAATCTTCAAGTAGAATAACGTGTATAAAAAAGGTAATGAAAAAGAATATAATATAAAAATTAATAAGAAGGTGTAGTTTAAAAAACCTAAAAAAAGCAGGAAGACATCAACTAAGACCAATTGTTTTTACGCGTTTGGGCTGCGGACCCAGGCACTGCTTATAGTGCCAGTAGTGCGCGGATACTGATAAAGCTGGAGGTCACGCGTAATCACATCTGCGGGCCCCGGGTACTCCTTATCAACCAAAAGCGTAAAAAAGAATCGTTCTGTACAACAAGCACAACCGACTCGTCGAATCTGCGGAACGACCGTATTTGAAAAGACAAAAGAAGAAATAGAAAAGAAAAGTTGAACCCCTAAAGTGTGAGAAATAAGCAAATAAACAAACGTTGGTCGTTTTTCGCCCTTTAGGGCTTCATATCTTTCCTATCGTGGACGTTTGGCAAATTCTAAATACTACGTTTTTATCAGCAAAAAATTCTACACAAAATAGGCTTGGTCCGGTCCAAAAGGCAAAAAGAATTGCCCCCACGCGGGATTGAACCACGGACCTTTGGTTTACAAGACCAACGCTCTGCCACTGAGCTATAAGGCCACGGAGATTGGGTGCGATTGGGCGGCTCTTGTGGCTACGCCCATCCCTGTCCGAAGCTTCCAAGAATACCGCTTGCACGGCTTCAAAAAAATGAAGAAGGAAAAAATTGTGAAAGGACATGTTCAATTTCTGGAGCTTGGGCTGGTACCTTGCCGAAATATGCACACAGGGGCAGCAGCTGTAGATGCAGATGCAGGGGTAGCAGATGTTTTCATGGATCCACCGGCTTTAGCAGTATCCGCGCACTAATGATAGGCAGGGAGGTTGATAATGAGTTCCCGGGCGGCAGATGTGATGACGCGCGACCTCCGTGCTTTATCGGTGTCCGCGCACTAATGGTAGTCTGGGAAGTTGCTAAGGAGTGCAGATGTGATAACGCGCGCCCTCCGGCTATATTCTTGGGGTGGCCCTGACCCTATTAGTGCGGCGATTTCCATAACAACCGGCGCTGATTGGAATTTTTTGCTTCAGTTATTGGCGGGCTGTACTATCCACTGAAAACATTTAAAAAGCGATGCCGATCCGTTCACATAAAGGATTCAGATCCTTCAGATAACCATCATGGTCGTCGTCATCTCCACATCATTCATTGTGTGCAATGCTCCCGGCGCTGTCATCTACACCCTAAAAGTCTTCGAGCTCACTAAACTAACGGTATCAGCATCCGCTTTCACCAATCTAAGATCCATTTTCAGGGCGGCTTCACCCACCTCATCGAAACCATCTCCAACTGCCTGGCCGTCACCGGAAAAGTTCTGAACTTCTTCCTGTTTTGCTCCTCGTCCCAACGATTCCGGAAACTACTAAGGATTAGGCTCGAGAACTGGAGGGTAAGTCTTGAAAAACAATGCCTTGATGATAGCAATTTGTCTAGACCTACGCAAATTGCTGGTAAGTTTCGCATACCAAAATTAACTTAGTTATTTGAGTTGCTGATATTGGCAATGGTTCTGTTGAAGATTTGGTTTCTTTTAGTACTGTCGCTCATCGAAGTACGCTCGGCGCAGCTCCTCGAAGTTGAACCATTCTCACTCGCAGGCTAACAGGACTCTATCGATGCCAATGACGGAATTATGACATAAGGACGGGGTTGCGGTTACTCGGCATGGTAGGTGTTTTTGGGAGGTATTATTAAAGGATTTACTAACGTTATAACGATCGTTCCTTGGGTGGAATTCCATTATCTTTCCGTCAAACCAAAATAATGTAAAATAAAAATGCCACGGTTAAATTAAGGTTATTTTGCCAATTACACTGGGATTTTGACGGCGTTCGACCTGTAAGTGCAAGGAAAAATGAAGAACGCACCGTTCTCTACTTGGAGAACTTTTTATTTACGAAAATATCGTTTAAATCGGCGGTCTTAATCAAGTTTTATCCTCAAAATCTAGAAACTGGCCTAAAAGTGTTCACTTTTGGCAATTACCATGCATGCAAAACATAGTGGAAAAAGCTTGGCAACCTTCCCAAAAAAGCAACTAGTTTTTCAGCTATAACATTTAATTAACATTGTTTCATTCGTAATAAATCAAAATCATAAACCTAAAACGTGACGGCCCATCTTTTCAGTCGGTCCGACACCGAGTGGCCTCAGCCCCCAGCCGTGTCGATCGCTTAATTCCACGGCTACTTCACGCTGTCCATCACCGTTGCCTCAAAAATACAACATCAATGAGCGAACAGATGAATCCATCCGCTCGATATCCCCTTCAAATCATCCCTCCGATCAGTTCCTCTTCACGGCCCCCATATCGGTTTAAAAGGATTCGAAAAGCGGAACTAGTGATACTTACTTGCGCTCTGAGACGATTAGTCCAAATCACAAAATTCCTACGCACCAACCTCTAAATATATATAAGTTTTGTGGATTTTTTTGTTGAATTTCTTGAACTTTCTTCCATTCATATCGACCTAAATTCTCCAAAACCTAATCTACTTTATTTACAGGTATTTTTTATTTAATATAGCGTATTATGTAGTCTTTCCGACCGTTCCACCCCAACCCTTAAAATAATCATCTTTGAGATTAATCGAATTATTAACCGGGTCCCCTTCCATTGTTACATATACATTTCTTGTCGCCATATCTACCGTATTCTCTGGTCGATGGCTCTTTATTTTAGTCTCCCACGGAGCGGCGGAAAGTCTTCGGTGTCACGCGAAATAAATAAATGGCAATAGAGGATTTTACAAATAAAGAAAGGACAGCAAAACAGTGGGTATCGGAAATGGAATACAAGCAATTATTTGGTGTAGTCAGAGAGCCGTTTCTTTCACATTTTTGTTGATGACGATTTGGCCGTTGGATTTTGATGCGGTCAGATGGGCCACTTTGGCTTCGATTTCGTCGATTTGGGTTTTGAAGTGACCGTTTGACTAAAATCAAGTCATTAAATATAATTAAGTCTGAATATACCTTAATCCCGTTATGCATCGGCTTCTCCCCATGAATACATCCATTCAACCGGGGGCCGCTTCCCTTCCACCGTCCAAAGCAAAGCATCGTTGGTCGTCTTGGTGTTTCATCTTCAGATTCAAGTATCACCTTGTCACCATAGACCTCGTGATGGGATTTAGCATCTAAAAAGGAGTATAATTGGCGCATATCCCCTAATAGAAGCCTCTTTCCCGTAAATTCTTTTAAAGTTTGTATTTGGGGTGTGTTGTAGGTGTGGCTGTGCGTGAGTTCTTGAGTGCTGGCTCAAACCAAGGGGATACCTTGCGAGAGAGTCGTTTGACACCTGAATTGATTTGGCGAAAGAAGAGAGAACAAAGTTTATTTACGATAACGGCAAAGCCTAAAATAACACAAGCAGCCAGACAAGACGGGCGAAGTGGAAGAGTGAAAAAAGACACGCACAAAAATGGGGTTGTGCCGGGGGACGGGGAGGGCGCACACAGGGCGTAGTGCAAAGGGTTGCGCCGTACAGGCATCGCGTAATTGAATCAAAAGACTTTCTTTTCTTGCTTCCGCAACATCTTCCTCCTTGAATGAAGAGCTTGACTCGGTGATGAAGTTGAGCTTGATGGAGACGACGTTGACGGGCACTTCAATCTTCATATCGCGATGGCGGCTTCCGGATGCGCTTGTGGTGAAGGATCGGTCCAAGGGCATCAGTCTTCTTTGTCTTCTTCACAGGTTGTGCTTGATCTTGTTGACGAACTTCAGGTTCGTCGTCGCGTCCTTGTGGTTGTTGAACAACGTCATCGAGTTGTTCAATTTGCGGGTATTGAGCAGCGATTTCGGGCAGTTCAACTTGAGGTCGTCGCGGCACGGCTGGTGATCTTGCCGGTGAACGTGGATGCGACTTCTGTGGCGACTTGGTTGGTGTTGTCGGCCGGTGAGCGGTGGGATGGGGAACATTCGGAACAGGTACAGGGGGGAATCAATGTAGGAGTGGTGGCGGATGATGCGGCTGACTTCTCGAGAGGCTTGTCAAGAGGTGGAGCAGTGTCCTGCACATTGACTTTATCATCGCTGGCAAGATCGAACTCTTCCAGGATATCATCGAGTACGTCTCGAACGAATCGAGCGCGTATCTGGTTGGCATGTCGACGCCAAACGACTCCAGAGGTAGTTTCAACCTCGTACATGGACTTTCCACACAATTTAGAAATACGTCCTTCTACCCAGACAGGTTTGCTAGGTATTTTATAATCTCGAACCCAGACAGTCTGGTCGATTTCGTAGGAACGCTTCTTTGCGCCGTGTTTCCGGTTGTACTGTTCAACCATCTTCATCTTCTCCCCCTTCGGAAAGATGAGATTCGCACAAGTATTGCTGTTGCTCTGGGGCAGACGCAAGCGAGCAATGGGAGTAACAAGCTTTCTCCCGATAAACCTTTCAGCCGGAGATAGCTGTTCTGGTGAAGATGGGCAAGGGGTGGACCGATAAGTTCGCAGAAAAATTTGCAAAGTTTCAGCGTTAGTCGAACCAGCGGCTTTGCTCAAAGCGCGCTTGAAGGTATCGACGAAACGTTCGGCCAATCCGTTCGACTGGGGATGGAACGGCGGCGTGCGAATATGGGTAATTCCACGTTCCTTACAGAAATCTTCAAACTCCTTCGAAGTGAATTGAGTTCCGTTATCCGAAACAGCGTTTCCGGATCTCCGAACCTGGAGAAAACACTCTCAACTGGGCAATCGTCACTCGGCTTGTTGCCACCTTACACTCAAAGATTTCAGGCCATCTTGAGTAAGCGTCGACAACGATCAAATACATTTTTGATCAATCGGACCGGCATAATCAATATCACGCGCTCCATTGGACGATTTGGGGTAGGCCAGGGAGTCAATTCACTTTTACAGGCATCTTCTGGGCTTTCTGACAGCCTTCGCATTCTTTCACGATGCGATCGATGTCTGAGTCCATGCCAATCCAGTACACATATTGCTTTGCGAGCAATTTCATTCTCGTTTGGCCCGGGTGGCCTTCATGAAGCATTTTCAGGATCCGCGATTGTAGCCTTTTCGGCACAACAACTCGCTCTTTCGAAACAAACAACCTCGGTGAATTGACAAGTTATTTACAAGACTTTGTAGGCGTACAGCGACGAGCCTGGCAAACAGTCTGGAAAAGAACCACTTTTCAGAGAGTCAATCACCTGCTGAGTGAGTAATCCTGTTCAGTTTGCTCAGCAATTTCCTTGTGAAACTGAGATTTGGCTCAATTTATCCTCAAAAACGGCTGAAATGTCGATTTCTATCTGCGAAATCACGACATCTTCTTCAGGATCCGATTTTGGCGGAATCAGACGGGAAAGGGCATCCGCTTGACCAAATTTGGTCGTGTTACGATATTCAATAGAAAAATCGTAGTTGTTCAATTGCAAACACCACCTTTGCAAACGGTTTCGGTGTGTTGTGGGATTCCTTTTTCGACCCGTATATCGGTAAAAGGGGCTTATGATCCGTCAGTAATACAAAACGCCTTCCGTAGATGTATCTGTGGAAGCGCCGAATTGCGAATACGAGGGCTAAGCCTTCTTTTTCAATCTGGCTATAGTTCTTCTCTGCCACAGTCAATGCTCTGCTAGCATGTGCGATTGCTTTTTCAGTTCCATCAGCGAATCGGTGGGTAATGACTGCCCCAAGGCCTTGCTCACTGGCATCAGCGGCGACGACGATCGGCAACTTGGCGTCATAATGACAGAGTAACAAATCGGAAATTACAATTTCCTTGAGCGACTGGAACGCTCTTTCACAGTCCTCACGCCAGAGAAACTTTGCGTCTTTCCTCTTCAACTCGTCAAGCGGGGCGCGCAACTGGTCGCATACGAGGAATAAAAGACTGGTAGAACGAAACCATGCCCAAAAAGCTTTCAACTTCTTTGAGGCAGGTTGGTCGTGGCATATTTGCTATCGCAGCCGTGCATTCGCCATCGGGTCTTCGGCCTTGGGCATCCAGAATGAAGCCAAGATACTTTACCGAAGCCTGGCCGAACGTGCACTTTTCCATTTTGACGCGCAATCCGAACTTTTCGATTCGCTCAAACAACTGACGTACCCTGTCGTCATGCTCCTCCTGGTTCCGGCCGGTGATCAACAGATCATCCAGGTAGGCAGCGGTACCGTCCAAGCCTGCGATCAAATTATCCACAATTTTCTGGAAAATACCGGGGGCTGTTTTCACACCAAATATCAGTCGTTGATACTGATAAAGTCCCTTGTGTGTGTTGATTGTCAGGTATTCTTGGCTAGACGCCTCAACCTCGACTTGTAAATAAGCATCCTTCAAGTCAATCTGGGAGAAAACTTGTCCACCGTTGAGCTTGGTGAAAATTTCTTCCGCTGTGGGAAGAGGATGATGGTAATCTTGCAACGCATCATTCAAGCCGGTAGAAAAATCACCGCAAAGTCGCAATGAACCGTCCTTCTTCTTGACTGGAACGACCGGAGCCGCCCATTCGCTGTAAGTGACTGGTTTCAAAACAGTCAAATCAACAAGACGTTCAATTTCCTTTTCAATGGCTGATTCCATCGAGAATGCGACACGTCGGAATGGCAGAAAAATTGGCTGCGCATCGGCTTTGAGCTGCAACTCAGCCTTAGCAACAGTGCATAAGCCTAGACCATCCGTAAATACACTCGGGTATTTCTCAACAAGTTCCTTTTCCAGCTTTGATTGCTTCACTTGAACCTTATTGACACACAATTCATCGAAACAGGATGCGAATTGTGGCAGCTGATTGATCCAATCCAGCCCCATCAACCGAATGTCTTTGGTGACAAAGCAACGACCATGCCCTTCAATGCCTTTCACTTGAAAGCGGGTTTCAAACAATCCTTTCACGTCAATTCGACTACCGTTGGCAGCTCGTAGTTGAATATCCGACGGCGTAAGTGGTGGGCAATTCAACTGATGCCACACAGCCTCGTCAATAATAGTTACGGCGGCGCCAGTATTTAATTGCAGCGTAAAATGAGTGCTTCCGATTGAGATTTCAACGTCCTTGCGCGTTGAATCAATAGCATTGATTTGCACAACCTGGTTCACCTTCGGTTTCCAGTCCTTGTTTCGGTGGTTTTGTTTTCCTTGCTTGGAAAAACTACCTCCACGGTTTCCAGAATCTGAGCGACACTCTTTTGCCCAGTGTCCTCGCTTTCCACAATGATGACACACATCATTTCGCTTGTCTCCACGGGGCCGATCATTGGTATCACAAGGCTTTGAGCCACCATTGCTAGAGGTAGGCTTTGGGCCCTTGTTCCAAGTCTTTCGGTATCCCGACTGCTGGATACGATTCACATTGGCATGCTGTTCGACCACAACATCCATGTTCAGGCTCGTCTGCAGGTCACACTCGCGCAGCAGATCATCCAGTTTCACGTCATTCTTTGACTCAAGAATACGGATCAATTTCTTGCGGATATCGCGATGTGCCTGGTCAGACAGTCCAGCAACGAAAAGTAAACACTTTTCTTCATCTTCCTTCAGTTCCTTGACGCGACCTTGCTCGTATAATTTGTTGACGCGAGCGGCGTAGGATCGCATATCCTCATCGTGCTCTTTCGCCACGCGAAAGGCGAGGAATCGTCGACTGAAAAGCGACAGCTTTTCTCCAAACATCTCAGTCAAATGCTTGACGATGTCGTCGTATGCGATCGAAGACAGCTCGGTGGGTCGAGCATGATCCGCTAGCAAGCCATAGGATTTGGCATCCAGCATTCCGAGAACAAGATGCTTTTTGTTCTCCTCCGAGATGCGCGATTCGGTGGCGATGAGGTTTTTGAACCGCTCATGCCATTTTCGAACGTAATCCCTGGGACGGGTCATACTCGAATCGACTTACGCGAGTGGCTAGGGCGCCCAACTCGACTGCATTCAGAGGCCTTTGGCTTTGGCTTGAATCTTCGCTAACCGAGTCCGTGTGCGTTTGGACCTCGGCGCGGATCCGCTCGAGCTCAGCCATGAGCTTGGCTTCTCGCTCTTGTCCAGCGACCATGACAGCGGTCATCTGCTGGTTCGCGGCGGCGAGCTGCTTCAGCACGTCCTTGAGCTCCAGGTCGTCGGCCATTCTTCAATTCGGCACGAATCCTTGATCGCCAATTGTTGTAGGTGTGGCTGTGCGTGAGTTCTTGAGTGCTGGCTCAAACCAAGGGGATACCTTGCGAGAGAGTCGTTTGACACCTGAATTGATTTGGCGAAAGAAGAGAGAACAAAGTTTATTTACGATAACGGCAAAGCCTAAAATAACACAAGCAGCCAGACAAGACGGGCGAAGTGGAAGAGTGAAAAAAGACACGCACAAAAATGGGGTTGTGCCGGGGGACGGGGAGGGCGCACACAGGGCGTAGTTCAAAGGGTTGCGCCGTACAGGCATCGCGTAATTGAATCAAAAGACTTTCTTTTCTTGCTTCCGCAACAGGGTGCAAGAAACGAGAATAGGAGTTTTGTTTAGGGTTTAGACCAAAATATACTAACTTTACCCTCTATCTTCAGTATTCTGTCAAAATCCTTGACTTATATAAGCGAAAATACGGTATACAACCCGGTTAACCTACGTTGTTTTTTCGGCATATCGCTAACTGTCTCTCGGCCCAGCCCCGAATCCTGGCTATTCCTGCTCTCATTGAGATTCGATAAGCTTGTCGCAACGAATCGCGAGGCGGGTGAGCCCTGAAATACGGTATATAAGACGCATTACAAAAACAAACAAAAATTATCAGACACATCTTAAAAGCTTACACAATGCCCATTTAGCAGCTCTTTTGCGCCCATCACCGGCTGCACCCGATGGGCTGCATGGAACTCCAAGGATTTCGACGGTAACATTCTGTTATTTGGCATCGATCTGAATAAAATTCAATTAAAATGATGTAAGATGTAAATCACAAAATTTTATAAAATTAGCATCCCAAAAAATCTCCACCTCGTCATTGGCGCATTTTCATATTCCGATTCATATCCATACGTCGTCGATTCTAGCTGCGATTTCGACGAATAAATACCTAAAACCCTCATTTACGTACCGGCACAAAATTCACGCTAGATTAGGGCTACAAAAGCGTGGGTACACTGTGTTGCTCCTACCTTTAATGCTTTTTAAGGGCACGAGGTGCTGAACATACTGGCTAGAACATGGCGTAATAACTTACCACTCGGTCCCGGTTCTTCTGTGCATGGTGTGCCTTGCAGGGAGCCCGTAAGAACACCATTAAAAAGACGATCCTGAAAATTACATAAAATTCACCCCCAAATCAATCCACATACCCTAGCAGCTTTCCTTTGCCTATCCATCTCTTCTCGATCTTTCCTCTCTGCATCTTCCTTTTCTTTCTTCTCCACTTCTTGCTGCCTCTTCCACTCATACTCCTCTTTTTTCTGCTGCTCCTTCCGTTGCTCCCCTGCAATTTTGTGTCTGTCATCCGGTCCGAATACAAAATTCCCAATCTAACAAAAAATGGGATCAAGGTTTCAAAAAGCTACTAAAGTGAAAACACCCACTCTGCGCCGGCTAGGCACAGTTTTTGATTACCAAATAGTTCCTCGTCGTCTGGAAAATAGGGGGAATTAAACAGAAATGGAGTAAGGGTGAGAAGTAAGAAAATGCAATACACTTACCACTATAAATTTTTCGCAAATTCTCCTTGGTCATTGCTTGGGATAGTTCACCTCGTATGATGCTTGCTTCGTCTCGAAGTTTTGCCTGAAATAAAGTGATAAAATTATACTCACTTTATTTACGATTTCGAAGATAACCATTAAAAAGAAAAGCTTACTTTTTCTAATTTTATTGTTTCCAAAATATCGTTTATCATGCTGACGTTTTCATCATCATTGTCTTGGTTCAACACGTCCTAAAAATAGATTTTTATGGTATAGAACTTTAATAAAAAGAGCTATAAAAAGAGCTACAAAAAACTTGCCTCGAGCTCGTTGATTTTCTTCTTTAGTTGTTGCATATTTTTCCGCAAATGTTCATATCGTCTATCCAAATAGGTCAGCCGCTCGGAGAACTGAAAATGCCTATTTATACAATATAATAATTAATAGAGTTATTGGCTAGTTTATTTTCTTAGATAATTTTTATTTTTAGATTCAATTTTAATTTTTCTTTGTTTACTCTAACCTCGCTACTCCCGTCGATAAGCTTTGCTTGCTGTAGGAGCTGACCGAGCTCCCGTAACTCGGCCAAGTCGTGCAGTTCTTTTTTGTCTTCATCCATCTTTGCAAGAGCGACTAGGCAAATTCGTAGAACAGAAAGCAAGAAATAGAATTTCAGTCGAGTGCGAGAAGTGCCAAGAGCAAATTCAAGCTCATCACGTGGAATGTCGGGGGGTGCTTCTAATTACGCGGCGCTTTTCACGCTTTTCACGTGAACGAGAATAGAGAAAAGGATGGGAGAAAGGATGGAAAGACGGAGTGGCTGTTTTTAAAGACTGCTAACATAGGTATAAAGTAATAAAAGTATATAAAATATATAGTGTTATTTACAAAATATTAGCCCTCGCGTACCTTGGTACTGAACTGTCAGCGGGGGGGTTTAGCAGGGAGAACGAGTTTTTTCCGCCGCTACGAATCAATAAAATGATTTACAATGTTTTAAATAGTTTTTGTTTGCTAAAAAGTTAGAAAAATATTTTAAGCATTTTTAAAAATTCAGAGTTTTTGAATTTTGCATACATTTCCACCAAAAAGATTTGTGAGCATTTCATATCTAAAACCTTCGTTAAATGCTATACAAAACGGTTTCGTTTGTTTTTCATAGGAACGTAAGGAATTGCTGGGAAAAATTTGGTTCCCACGGCTAAGCCCCCGCTAACAGAACAGTACCGATGATTTTGCATAAATCTCCTAAAATCGAAGACGCCAAAGTAAAAGCCCAAGAGTAGAAGTACCAAAAATACGCCGCCAACTACTACAACTCGCCACACCAAGTAAAGGTTTTCCAATGCGCCGCAAAACCGACTAGCGATGAAGGTGGATTTCCGGGGAGCGGAAGCTGGGCCCCACTGAGCCGAATTAAGGGGTGGCGAATGGCCAAGCCACGAAATCGTGAGCACCTCTTCAACTCTTGCCCTCTCGGCTCCTTCCTTTCCTTTTCGGGATGGAGAGCCACGTCGGGTTCGGGCTTATTTTTGGGCCACAGGTTTCGGGAAGAAAATCGGAAAGTGGGACTTGTTAGGTCCGAAAAATCGGCGTGGAATTGGAGTGGCTGGGTTGAAGTGGTGGAGGAAGTTTTGGAAAGGAATTCGCGCGGGTATGGGCTAAATGTTCGTCAAAAATCATTCAGATAAAATTCAAATCTACATTCAGATAATTTATCCAACTACGCTTACCTGGTTACAAATTTGAGGTTTACAAATCCGATAATGTGGTTTAAATAAATAAAAATATATTCAAGTAAAAGAAACTTTTCTGATTTATCCGAAAAGAAGATTCAAATGAGGTAAAATGCTGCTAAAAAATTCCTGATTCCAATAAAATTCAAAAATTTAGGTAATTGCGATAACTATAATTTAAATCAGGTATTATGTATTTTATATTTATTTCATGATTTAAAATAATAATTTAAATCAACTTAAAATAGTTTATTTAAATACGATCGTGTTCATCTGGTTTAAGCATGTTACATCAATTATGCGAATGTTATCCATATCCTTTCGTGAGTCAGGACGTCTCTAGTGTATACGTGCCAAACCCAACCACAAAAACTTTAATTTAGAAACTAGTGCGTCACAGCTTTTTGACCCTAATGATCTGTGATCCCCAAAATGGAGCCTGAGCAGGGAGGGGGGTTCGTCTTAGAAGAGGATGGGATTGATGGGTGTCTATGGCAGAAGGGCCAATCCTCTACACTGGCTCTTCCTCCCCTTCCAAACCCAGCAGAGCACCAGCATTGGGGGGTGTGTGGCCCTAATTGGACGATAAAGTTCAGCTTGGTCGTCGTCTTTTCTGCCCTTTTTCTTCCTTCCTCCCGCCCCAAAAAGCTGCTCCCGGTTTCTTCAAAAGCTGAACGTTTCTTCGCGGTTTGCGGGCTATCTTTTCGTTTTGGGTTCGTTAGGCGGCGGGTTTGGGGGGCGGGGGGGAGAAAAGTTGCTTTTTTTATGAGGAACTAGGATTGTCTGTCGGTAACACATTTTTCGGTTTGTTTGACGCAAAAGGAAAGGATGGGGGTTTTGGGTTTAGAAGGGAGGCAAGGAGTTTTAAGGAATATTTTCCTTTTTTTAAAAATGAATTTGAACAGGGAAATGCTGGGCTAGGCGTTTTTTTCGATAGCTTTGCATATAAAAATTGAACTTGGGTTCAGGCATTCATTTTTAGTCAGATAGCTATAGGCAGGGCCGTAGCTGACCCAAAATTTCGGGGGGGGGGCGGCAAGGTTTCGGGGGCGGCGGTTCAAAAACATCTGCCGTTTACCGCCCTTTTTCAAAAATTTTCAAAAATGATAAGGGTCCCCCCTTATCATTTTTTCACCATCTGCAGATTTCGGGGGGCGGAGGGGGCATGCCGCCCCCCTCCTACGGGCCTGGCTATAGGAGAAGACTCTACCGGGTTTTATATGACATTAAAAATATACACCAAAATATACAAATCTAATTGATAAAATATTAAAATTTAAACAGATAAAATTAAAAATGACAACCGTGAATTTCTCAAAAATCTCAATTTAATATCGAAATCGAAAATGCCTTTTTTAAGAACCTGGTGTTTTTGGACTCCCTTGAAATCGATTTGGCACTTAATGACCTATAAAACATCCTTTTAAAATTTTTTTACTATCCTGATATGACTAGAAATAACGACAGAATAAACATAGAAAGTATTTTTATCTATTTAAATATATTTTTATTTTATATAGCAATCGAAATAAAGCCTCCTATGCTCGAGCCCCTCCCCGCCTAGCACTGCCCCAAAAAAAAATTGAAAAATGAAGATTTTGCCAAAAGATTGTAGAGCCAAGTGGCCAACCTCCCGACCTCCCATTCTGGCGGATGCTAAATGTTGCCCCATTTAGGGGTAGCGGGTCCTGGCTTGAGAAGGAGATCTTTATTTTGAAGACCAACTCCCCTTCTCCGCACACCTAATCCCCCGGAAAGCGTGTCCACTCGTTTTCTTGGTTTTTGGGAAAGGTTGTTGTGCTTCAGGGGGTAGAATTTATTTGAGGTGTAGGAAATGAGTAGCGATTTTTCAAAGGGCAGGTTATCAAGGAACGATACGATGAGGCGGGGAGAGAGAGAGCGAGAGAGAGATAGTGAGTGAGAGTAAATGAGAGTGAGAGAGAGTGAGCGCGAAAGAGTGAGAGAGCGTGAGAGACAGTGTGAGTTAGTGAGAGAGAGTGAGAGTTAATGAGAGAGTGAGAACGCGAGGGTGAGAGAGAGAGTGAGAAATAGAGCGAGAGAGAGAGAGCGAGAGTGAGAGGCAGTGAGAGTGAGAGAGAGTGAGAGCAGATAGTGAGGAAGAGAGAGTGTGAGAGAGATAGTGAGAGCGAGAGAGTGAGAGTGAGAGCGAGAGAGTGAGACAGAGGGAGAGCGGGTGAGAAAGAGAGTGAGAGAGAGTGAGATAGATGGAAACTAAAAACTAGAGAAATAATTTAATTTATAAAATCGATTGTCTTTTTCAGTATATCCTGCAAGATTATGTATTTAGAATAAATTTAGCTTTTGTGAAGATCTTGCTAAAAATGATCTAAAACATAATTTTTAAAATTCTAAAAACTTAAAAAGAACATAATCCCACTACGCCTCAATTTTGTGCCTAAAACTACAAAAAAAGCGTGAAAGCCGTTAAAAATGCGTGTGATGAGTGATGAGGTGTGGAGCTGTGTGGAAGCTATGGTGTTGGTGGTGATGGGTGGGTCATCCCCAAGGGAAATCCACCAACGCCTTCTCCACTGCCTAGAGCTTGAGCCTCTCTGGCTCACCCGATATGCTTACGAATCAAATTCGCGCTTCAACCAAGCCCGAAACCTCGTGAAATCCGAGAAAAATAAGTGAAGCAAAGTGGGACACGCCATATGACAATCTGTCGTCTGGGTTCCCGCAGCTGGGATCGGGTTTTTGGGGGGTCTTTTGACGAAGGACAGATGCTCTACGGGAAAGAAGTCTATAAGGATGTATAGAAAATGGGTTATATTTAAATTATAAGGTTTTAAACATAAATTAACGGAGGCATAAAATCACTGCTGACGAAAGTTCGTGCGCCAGAAAATAGCCGTAAATTTGGTTTTCATCGGGTTATAAGACAGCTCACAGCGCTCTTTAACAAAGGTATTTTCAAAATACCGAAATTTCGAATTCGGCTGCTTTCTTAATTAAATATAACACCATGGCTAACAAAAGTCTAAAGGGGGAAAACGCCGGCTGCATTTTCTGGAACTAATTTTACGGCGAGGAAGCGTAACCCGAGCTGATGGCCTGGGCAAAGTTTGTCTCGCTAATGTGCCTTAGCCGGGCTGCAAGTAGATAATGACAAAAGATTCAACGAAAATAGTGTAATACCATTCTCGGAAAAAATGAAAAAGTTTAATGGTTCCTTTGATGAGGTTCAAGGTTACGCTTTAAGAACAAGCCTTAAATCGTAGAATTTTCAATCAATAATTTTAGTTTTATGTTTTTAAATATTTTTTAACTTTTAAAATATTTAAAAGTAAAATACCCACCTCCGGCATGTCGCCACCCGGTTCGCCGCCCTGACGCTGTGTTCGCCGGCTGAAATTTGAGGGTTAGGGCCGGGTTACGGAGAGCTAGACATTTGGATGAGGGAGGAGAAGCAGAGAAAGAGAGATGGGAGGATAACATTATGGTTTTGAGGGGCAGCAGGAACATGGGGAGGGGCAGCTTGAGGAGGGGGACTCCTTGAGGTGATAGGTTTGGGGATCGATAGGCTGTGAGATTGAGCGATCGTCGCAAGGGAAACTAAAGGAAAATGAGAGGAGCTTGATGCTTCAAGTAAGATATTTTAATAAGATGATACCTTATAAATCCAGTCGGCTTGAAACACATTTTTCTTTTGACTTGAAAAATAAATTTTAAATTTCAAATAAAAATTATTGGCAATGTCTAATCCTTCATCGATTAAATTGTAAAATTTAATTCTTAGAGGTTTTTGTGTAATAGTATTCAACATATAATCTAACTATACGATACATATAATCCAGCTGGGATTTGACCGGTTTCCGGATGGGGGGGGGGGCATGTGGGCCCTGTTACAACAAGCGCAAAA